GGATATGAAATCATCTGAAATCACAAAGCAAACATATCAGTATGCAAATCACTATATCAGTTCATACACAGAACCTGGGGAGAATGATTTAAAATAAGGATTGATGAGATCTGCTCGGTTTAACTTCTTTTATGTGTCTTATCAACTTGAATAGTTTTGTTAAATCCTTCTCTATACCCCTAACCCCTAAAATTTTCCCTTAAATTTCAGAACAGGGACTTTTCCTTCACAGTAATTATAAATTTATATGTGTAACCATTTGTTTAACATGTATCTCTTCTACTAGACAATTATGAAAGAGGTTTCTAGAAAACATAAGCACTGAGTTCAGATTAACATTTATTAAATATTTACTTATTGAAAGATGTACAGTAATGGGTACAGATCTGTTGAGTGAACACCATTGGTTATAAGGCATACAGATAAGAACTATGGAAGGCGATGAGGTGCAGTTACAGCTGAGGGATATTACAGGGAGCAAGGAGCAGCAGCCTGGTAGAAGTCCTTGAAGATGAGATCAACAAGTGTGACTTAATTAGGAGTTTTCCTCAAATCGCTATAAAAAGCCATTAAGATTCACTAATGCTGTTAAAGCCAACTAAATGAGAAGAAAAATTGCCCCTGTCAAAATTAGAGGCATACCCTTAAATCTAATCACAGTCTATTTTATCTGCTGTATCTATATTGCTCCCTGAGTATATTTTCTTATGCTTTTAAACCTCACATCTTTACTTGGTTATTGCTTTATGAAGCAAAAATTATAAATTAGATTAAATAAAAATCAAAGAGAGTAAAGCATAATTAAATACTAGCCTGGGTTATCAAGGGGCTTGTAAATTCCACAATGTATAAGATCTGTCCCTGATAATCTGCTTGGTTACAGTGGAAGGCCAACATGTAGATGAGATACAGTACTGTTTGAGAAAAGAATAAAGGCTTAATTAATTTATTAATATACTTTTATAATTTTGTGATTTATCATATCCATTGTATCATATGTAGAAGTTGTCTAAAAGATTTATTTGCTGCCCTAATCAGTTTGGCTCAGTGGATAGAGCATCAGCCTGAGGACTAAAGGGTCCCAGGTTCGATTCTGGTCAAGGGCATGTACCTCGGCTGTGGGTACATCCCCAGTGGGGGGGGGGTGCAGGTTTGGAAGTGCCCAGATGAAACCCAGCTATGAAGCAAGGGAAACTTGTGATGGTGCCAGTCTTGGGCCTTTGATTGATAGGTTTGGGGCTCCCTGACTCAGCTGCAGCTTGTTTGAGATATTTTAGCCTGAGCAAGGACAGGTCATGAATATGAAAAAGCTGGTGCACACAACTTAGGTGGGGTTGTAAATTGGATAAGGCTGAGTCTTAAGGAATCAGCAGGGCAGAACAAACAGAAATGGCTGCCAGTAAGCCTTGCGACTGGGGAGGTTCCAGCATAGGAACAATGATCCCTGAGCACCTCCATCTGGGAAAAACCCACCCCCAAGTTCCTGCCCTGATGCCAGACAGTCCAGTTCCTACTTGTATGGGTCTGTGTTTCTCAGAGCCTCACCCTGCTGCTGGAGCTCAGAGGAAGCGGGACTTGTAAGTTTAATTCATGGTGCTGCTCTTTTAAGGGGAACAGCCTGGTGTCCAGCAGCCTCTGTCACTGAGCCCCAATCCATATTGGTTTTTACAGCTCATAGTTCTTACTGTCTGTAGGGATTTCTTTCCCCAGTTCTGGGACCCTGAACTGGGGGTCTGGTGTGGGGCTGGGACCCTTTGCTCTTCCAGATAGCCTCCTCACAGATTCAACAAAGGAGGTTTTTGCTGTAATGGTTAAGGTATATATCAGTTGTTTTTTAGTGAACCAAATGGGAGATTATTCTGGATGGGCCTGACCTAGACAGATCAACTCTTAAATGACAATTCAGAGATCAGAGTCAGAAGAATCAGAGAGGTAAGTGAGTTCCTACTGGCTTCAAAAATGATAGTCACTATGCGTTCTGTATTAGTAAGGAACTAAAGTCTGACAAAACCTGAAAGAGCTTGGAAGACCCTGAGCAGCAGATGAAATGTAGCCCCTCTGGCGCATTGAATTCAGAATTTCGAAATCCCAAGCAAAGGATATAGCTAAGATTGCCCAGACTTCTGATACATGAAAACTGTGCAATAGTGAACAGATGCTGTTTTAAGTCACTAAGTTTGTGCTAATTCATTGCATAGCAATAGAAAACTAATACAAATAGATAGGAAATTGACAGATAATTTTTAAAAGATATATTTTTGAAGTAATGTGATTGATGTTCATGTGTCATCCTACTATATAGTGGCATTTAGTTTTCAGGCTGAAAAAGAATGCTTTTACACCAATAACACAGTGATGAATTGGAATATTTAAAAGAAATTAAGGTCTAGCATTTTATTTCACTTTTTTTGAATTTTTATTATTGAGAGTATTATAGATTCTTTTTTCTTCCACTGCATCCCTCCACCTGGTTCCCACCCCACCCCAGTCCTTCACCTACCTTTAGTCTGTGTCCATGGGCAGTGCATAAATGCATATAAGCTTTTTGGTTAATCAGTTCCTATCCCTTGTCCCCTTTACTCTGAGATTTGTCAGTCTGTTCCATGTTTCCATGCGACTGGTTCTATTTTATTCCTCAGTTTTTTTGTTCATTAGATAATACATAAAAGTGAGATCATGTGATATTTGTCTTTCTCTGATTGGCTTATTTAGCCAGGTCCCTTCATGCTGTTTCAAAGAATAAGTGATCTTTCTTTGTTATAGCTGCATAGTATTCCATGGTTTAAATGTATCACAGCTTTTTTTAATCCACCATGTATTGAAAATCCTAGTTGTTGTAAATAGTGCTGCTATGAACATAAGGGTGCCTAATTCTTTCTCGATGGTGTTTCAGGATTTTAAGATCTATTCCTAGAAGTGGGATCACTGAGTCAAATGGCAGTTTCATTTTTTATTTTTTGAGGAAACTCCACACTGTTTTTCATAGTGGCTGCACCAGTTTGCAAACTATAAAGCTATTTGCACAGCAAAATAAACCAGCATCACACTGGAAAGGGCCCTACCTGGTGTGGCTCAGTTGATAGAGTGTAAGCCTGAAGACTGAAAGGCCCCAGGTTCAATTCCAGTCAAGGCCATGTACCTTGGTTGCAGGCTCCTCCTGGCCCAGGCCTTGGTCAAGGCTTGTGCAGGAAGCAAGCAATCAATGTCTTTCCTTATCAATGATATTTTTCTCTATTTCTCCCTCTCTCTTCCACTCTCTATAAAAATAAATGGATAAATATCCTTGGGTGAGCGTTAAGAAAAGGAAAAAGAAAAGGGAGAACATATTTACCAATGATACAGTGAAAAGGGGTTAATTTCCAAAATATATAAAATATCATACAACTCAACAAAAGGAAGACACACAATCCAATTAAAAAATGGATAGAGGACCTAAATAGACACTTCTCCAAAGATGACATACAAATCCCAAGAGGTCTAGCATTTTAGATGGTAGGAAATATGAATGAGATATAGTGATTCCAGCTATCAGGTCTGCCAGGGCAGACATCAATGCACAGCAAGGAAGTATATTCCTATATGCAAGGGTAGCATAGAAATCTTTACTGAGGAAGAAACTACTTGTAGTCCATATATATATATGAATTATTTACAGATATAATAGAAGATTTACAGTAGAGACGTAGCATAGACTTGTAGGACAATATAATAAGACTGTAGAATGTTAAGAATAAAATCTTTGTTATAAAATTAGGTCAAATTCCAGCATGTGGTAGAAAACCTCATCAATATGTGAACGCAAAGAGAGGTTATTATTCAAAAATAAATAAATGACCATTTCCTAAAATTATTGGAAATACTGATAGGAAATAATGGTAATATAGGAAGAGGAAGAGGTGAGGTTTCTGAGCCAAAAGTGTGGCAGTCTACTAGAGTTTTCTTATGTGACTAGAGTATCTTAGGAAGCAGTGAAAGGTTTTCTGGTTCTCTTTGTGCCATTCTGGAGTAGATTTACTTTCCTAACTTTCTGAGTATTCTGGTAATAAGCTTTATTACCCGAGGCCCTGAGGATGTGTGACTTTCAGTACCAAACCAGGATGAGTTAGTCACCTTAATCTTAGGTCTGCTGTGAAGCTTTTCCCGACTTTATTCCAGCCTACATAAGTTTGTCTTCAAGGAGTTTAAGCAGTTTATTTAGCATATATTCTCTCTTTATTAGGGTTTAGTTTGCAACTTTCTCAAGGGTAGGGACCACACCTCCTTAATGTTTATATTTCCTAATACTTAGCAGACTGTTAGTGTTTAAGAAATTAATCTAAGAATTTAAAAATTTTACTTACATTGTTTCAAGGGTTACACAGCTTTCTTCTTTAAGTATATAAGTACATTTAATGGTTATGCATATGAGTGTTTTCTTTTTAATCCTCACCAGAGGATATTTTCCCATTGATTTTTAGAGAGAATCGCAGGGAGGGAGGGAGGGAGGGAGGGAGGGAGGGAGGGAGGGAGGGAGGGAGGGAGGGAGGGAGGGAGAGAGAGAGAGAGAGAGAGAGAGATCAATGTGTTGGTTGCCTCCTGCATGCACCCTGACTGGGGACTGGGGTTGGAGCCTGCAACCCAGATATGTGCCCTTGACCAGAAATCAAACTGGAGACTTTGGTTAGTGGGCAAATGCTCTAACCACTGAACCCACTGGCCAGGGTTGAATGTGGGTTTGTCCAAGTATCCACTTGGCTTCAATTTCTCCCTGCCAACTAAATATTATTTGAGCTTAGGCGAATTAATTAGCCTCTCAGAGCCACAATTTCTTAAATCTAGAAAACAGGGATAAAAATAGTACCTATTTCCCAGAGATATTGTAAGGATTACGGTAGCAAAATAATGGCTAAGTGTGTAGTATGTTGTCTAGCACATAGCACAAAACTAGTTATGATGTGGTAGTTGTTAATGAGCGAATATAAATCACTTCACTATATTCTTCCACGCATTGTTTCTTCCAGGGAGTTTATGTCATCCCAGGCAAAAGCAGTTATTAAAACTACTGAAGATTACTTGCAGCCTCAGTTTGGCCCCAACAGACTGTTGCTTTCAGCAGCAATATCAGAAGGGTCAGGACTTCAAAATTGCTCCACACATCAAACAGTATCAGATCATAGCCATGGTGAAATATCAGACCCGGATAGCTACAAATCAAACAGGAACAACAATTCCTGTTTTATATCAGCATCCAAGAGAAACAGACCTGTCAGTGCTCCGGCGGGTCAACCGAGGTAATCAAAGCTGTGCTCTCTTCTTTTTAACCAACTGTTGGAGCTTTTCCCTTTGAGCAGAATTCATAATGCGTCAACTGGTTATTTCAGACATTAAAATGTAGCACATCCCTAGCGCTAGGGTTTTGTTTCTGTGTTGTTGTTTTTCTTTGAAAGCAGAGGGGTAGAAAGTTATTCATTACACTTGTGGAAAGCATGAAATACACTTCAACCGGGATACTATGAAACTCTAAAAAAAAAAAAAAAATTTAAGACAAAATCAGTCTAGGACCGCCATAGATCTTTGTTTACCAGGTATTTGTTTAAAAATAGAAATGCATGCTTTTGGTATTTAACCAATATTCCAAAATAAAATTAAATTGTAATGAACTTATTATAAAACTATCTTGTGTATTTTACATAATTTGCAATAAACTTTTAACGTAAGAGTTTGTGGATAGGATAACATGTTTTTAAAATAAAAATAAAATCAAGAAATTGATGTTACCATTATTTTCATATGTTTGAATAGGGGAATATATTGTTATTTTAATTTCCCTAAAGTTTTATTTTAAAATGTTTCATTGCCTTCTATAGCACTAAGAATTAACAGTTACAGAACTCTGAAACAAAAAATTTAACATTTTAGTCCATTACATGCTTTTGCTGAGAAAATAATAAGTTTGATATTGGTTTTGACTGAAGACAAAACTTAGAAATCTTCTTTTATTTTCTCCAAACAATTTGAAATGAAAGCAATTATAATTAACTTTAGATTTAAAAATGTTGTCATGATCTAGTTAAATTTGAAATTTTTTAACATAAATCAAAGAACTTTGATAAATATGAACACTTAAAAGTAAAATTTTGCCACTAAGTATTTTATGATATTAAGACCATTTTGCTATTTTATGCTTTCTATCAGAACATAATTAATATAAAAAATAATTTTAAAAACAAGTGTTGTGATGTTTTATAAGCAAAATGATAGGAATTATTTATTTTGAGATAAACTGTCCCATGAACAGTTTTGGCAAACTTATCCTGTATTATTTTTAAATATTTAAGTAGTTATATACAGCTATATACTATAAAACATTTTTGAAGATCACTTACAGTCATTAGAGCTTAAAAAATATCCAGGAAAATATGGTTTTGAATGTTTTTATTAGTTAGCATGCATCTATTTTTACTTGTGTTTTTCTCTTCAGAGTTGCAGAGTTCTCTTCTTTAAACTTTCATTCGACCCAGAATTGGCACAGAATCTCTCAACGACATAAGCTTCCACCCAGAGTGATTAGAGTAACAGCTTACAAAAATGGATCTAGAACAATCTTTGCCAAAGTTGCTGTACCAACCATCTTCTTGGTAACTAGTGTTCAAAAGTTTCCTTGCTTCATTCCTTCCCTTGCTCTCTTTAAAATGTAAAAGTGGATAAAAATAACATTTATTCTGTCAAAATGTTCTTTTTAGTAATACAAATCTGTAAATTACTTATGTATCCTGTACATAAAACTCACAGACACGTCTTTCCTGTTTCACCAACATATAAATAGTGAAATATATTTAGTGAAACACATGTGATGCTTTACACCTTGCAGAGTTATAAAAACATTTAACCGACAGGATATTTAAGGACTAAAATTAAACAATCATTAGATATTCTTAGTGCTGTCATTTATCTTTTATTTGTATATTTTCAACTGCTAGAAAATATATTGGTGGAGTTATTCACGTTAACTCTGGCCTCAAGTTTCTGTTTTGATTGGAAGCATGTTTTGACCCACGGAAACGTGTAACTCTCCTTTTGTGAGTCACTCTCTCTTACCTCTTACTTTCTCCCAGTTACTGGAGGACTGCACGGAGAAGCTGCGTCTGAACATGGCCGCACGACGCGTGTTCTTGGCAGACGGCTCTGAAGCCCTCAGACCTGAAGACATACCCCATGAAGCCGACATTTATGTTTCAATGGGAGAGCCCTTTTTAGATCCATTCAAAAAAATTAAAGGTAAAAAAGAAAAAATCCTACCCCCACATACAGTAAACGGCTTGAGGGATGCAATTAAAAAATGATTTTCATCCTGTCTTTTTTGCATGGTTTAACAAAACTAATGTTTACGCATTTACAGCTCAGTAAGAGGATAATGTGGTTAATGAAAGAAAAATCCACTGACAGCCACGTTTATTGCCCTTCATTAGCATTGGTGCTTAATTTAATATAGATCTGAATAGACATTAGGGAGCCTGCAGGAGGTTAAATGGTGAAAATATAATAAATTAAATCAGAGATTATTGAATTTACTGTTTAGTTTCTGTGACAACCAACAGACGTAATTCATTAGACTTATTCTCTTAGAAAATAGTTCATGGTTTCAAGTATCACTTATTCATTTATACTCTTGGTCTTTCTTCAGATGGCATTAACATAATTATGAAAGTGTGGCCAGTAATGAACACATAATTCTTATATACATGTAATTTTCCTAATAACATTTTTATAAGGTAAATACTACAGCTTGACTTTTTTTTTACCTTGAAATGTATATATGCTTATATACATAATAGAAATTATAATAATATAAATTATGTATGAAATATAAACAGAAACATAATATTTTAGAGCTATTTGTAGATCAGATCTTTTTCAAAAATGTGCATTTAGATTTTCTAAGCTGAAAACATTTTTTCTTCTTTAATGGTAAAAAATACATTTTAAGAGATAAATATAAGTACTGCTATCTAAGAATATTCTTCCAGATAGTCCATATCCAAAAACCATATCCAAGTCTGATATCAAGTCCGATATGTGGTAATCACATTTAAATGACACAGCTTTGCCATACAAATTCAATGTATCTAACTGCTTGCTGTGCTCCCTTATGCTTTTTCTATCTTATTAAAAGTTATGGTGTATATATTTTTTTCTTGCAACTGCTAAAAAGCTGATGAGCCAAAGGAAAGTCTAGACAGTAATAGCGTATTATAGAAGAAACGTAACTCTGGAGTTGATTACAGATGAAGTGGTGAAAATTCTTTCTCTATTAATGTTATCATATAAAATAATACTAAGATTTCTGTCTCTTTCATAATGCTTGATCATCAGGAAATAATTTATTGAATTCAATAGAAAGTTCAATGTAATTTGGTCCTTGTAAAGAAACTTGTTGCTACAATACTCAGTAAAAATTACCCATACAATAGTGGAGACCCATATCATTTTCTAATTTTGTTTTAACTTTAAATATGACTGCCTTTATTTTGTATTCATTAATCATCTGCTTGCATATAAGAATGAGTCTTTCTAAGTAAATGTTTCTGAATTTTTTATATTCAAGTATTTATATAATTTATATATGATCTTTCTTAAGATCCTTGATTATTTTTATTAAGAAAAATACTTGCCTTTCTTATAATAATAGCATTGCGGAAGAGATATATAAAAAAATTACTTATATCTAAGCTTCTTAGAAAATTTCCTGGACATGTATGCTTAAAATACCAATGTTACACACATGACTAAGCTTGGTGGATGATTTTTAAATGTACAAACTAATTTCCCCCTACTTTTTGTTTTCTCTTTTATTCTTTTAAAAGCCAAGTCCAGAACAAAAACTTCTCTGCTTTGTCTGCATATCTTTGGCTGTGTTTCACTGTGACATGCACTGCTGTTCTTTTAGCACCAAAATGTTGGCACACACTCCTGAAAATTTCACACCATCTCTTGCTGGATCAGCAAGCTTAACCCACCAAAATCTGGTGTTGTGCAATGGTTTTTGACTGATAATCAATCTTTATGCTGCTCGACAGTTGTTGCTGGGACACGGAGTAGAGCAGGTGGCAGATGTGCCTTGTCTTTTGAGAAAAGAAATGGTAGGTGAGCTTGGACACAGACTAGCATATCACATGTCCATTAAAAAGACTTAGGATAAGTAGAATGGGGAAAAAAACACTCTAAGTTCACAGATAAGCCTAAAGACCAGCATTTGATTTCTTTCAGAACATTAAGAATATAAATGTAAATAAATATTATACATATGTGTGTATATATGTATGATAATGTATATGTATAACTTGATTTAGATAATTTGAGAGAGATGTGGAGAGATTTCACATATATGTATATATGCCATACATACACACACACACACACACACACACACATATATATATTTCATGTCACATACACTTTCTCAAATCAAGTTAAAATTACCTTTCTTGTATGTGTCTTATAGATAAATCTTATAGATAATTTGCCAACTTGTTGTCCTGAATGTAAAAAATAAACATGCGTGGTTAGTTTTGAAGGTGATAGATGAATTTAGGGTAAGGGGATATTCTCAGAAGTTGGAAAAGCACACATTCTAAAGGTAAACAGGGGTAAAACAGTTAGCAGAACTGGATGTTACTCTTTTATCTTTCTAAATGAACATGGGTAGTTTATATACAATTAATCAACAGACATTAGAGTCAGCAATTGGTCATTATTATTTCAATATACCAAGTTTCAATCATTCAGCCAACATTCATTGATAGCATACTATGTGCTAGGTACTAGGGTAGATCAGAGACAGGTGGAAAGAAGAGTCTATAGTCTATTTCTTTTTTTTTAATGATTCTTTAATCTTCAATTTTGAATTCAGTTGAATCTAAGTTTAATATTTATTAAATATCTATTATTTATAGAGTCCTGGCACAGGGATAGAAACCCTGGTCTTTAAAGACCGCAAACTGGGTAAGTAAGTTATAAATCCTTAAAACTGAGAACATTATTCAACAAAGTGATAGGAAAGGAACATTTACTTCATTTCTGGCAGAGGAAAGCCAAATAAGCCTAGGTATATTTTGGCAATTACATTGCTATAATTTGTTGTTGTTTTTTAAAACAAAGAATAGCAATACAATTTGGAAAAGCAATGTTTATAATGAAAATTGCCTTCCTTCAACCTATTTCCAGATTTGCTAAGGTAGAAAAATATGTACAGAACATCTATGATTTTTTTTTTTTTGGCCTAGATGTAATATTTAATTAATGCACTTAGAGAACATCTCTGATTTTTAAACTACTTTACTACCTCTTTTGAACATCACTGTTGACAACCAGTGGTACTGGATTTAATAGAGAGCTATTCATCACATACCTCAAAACACAAAGCTTGTATATAGAGGTCAGGCCAAGGTCAAAACTGACAGGAAGGGTTCCTTGTTGAAATGCAATATTAGAATAATTCTTGCATTTTGGAGTTGAATACTTGAGCAGAAAGATTAGTTACGTATGGGGGAAAATAGAAATATTTTATAAAGAAAGTTGATAATAAACTGTCTTATGAGGTCTTAACAATTCTGGCATTTGGAGAGTCTAAAATTTATTAAAGATTCTGCTAGAATTGTGAAGATGTATTAATGAATTGTTTGAAAAGACACTTAAAAGTTTTCAGATTTATGGGCATGCAGGTTAGGTATTCCATTTCTTGAATCTTCTGCTTAATGGGACACAGTGAAAATTCTTGCATCAGATTCATGGGGTTTATAAGAGTTTAGCTGCTTTATAACTGCTAGGCAGTGCAAACCTAGCATAAGAAACGGTTCATGCCCTGAAGCTGCTTAAATATCTTAATAAAGATGAGACGGAGGAAACCAGCTTAGACTTAATCCATTGGGTCTAACTTCCAATGTATAGAGCACTGATTGTTTAGAAATTAATTTTTTTAGTTTTATATTTTCATTCTGTCTTTTTAAAAATCTATTTTATTGTTTAAAGTATTGCAAATAGTAGTACATATGTCTCCTTTTCCCCCCATTTCATTCTCTCTTACCTGTTCAATCCTACCATTTGGCTTTAGAGTTATCACTTAAAGTGATTCATTTAAGTCCTAGGTTTTGTTAACCAGAAGTGTAACTGAGTATTATGAATAACATTTTACATCTTTTACGTACTGTATTGTGAAAATGTAGTCACAGGGAAAAAAATCCATGAAAAGAGTTCTAGATATTACACCTAAGATCTAAATTTAAACTGAGAGATTTTTTTGTTGTCATGTGATCTACAAAGTGAAATAATTTGCTGTGACAGCTTGTGATTGACAAGAATATGTGTGAGCACATTTAAAACAGGCCATCTTTTCATGTAGAAGTAAATGTCAGTGAAATGATGGATTCTCATCATTTTAATTATTGATGATTTGGAAATAGTTCAATTCCATGACACACAGGACACATTATAAATAGCAGCGTAACACTTTTTCCTCATATCTGCGACAATAATGAAATGTTCTGTCATATTTTGTTTTTCAAAAAAATGCATTAGTTTAATGAACCTGGATTCACACATTATATTCTCTCCTGTCTCCTGGATGTGTTGATTTTTAAATGGTTGTCTTAAAAGCACAAGTTTCACCCTATCTGGTTTGGCTCAATGGATAGAGCATTGGCCTGCAGACCAAAAGGTCCCAGGTTTGATTCCAGTCAAGGACATGTACCTTAGTTGCAGGCTCCTCCCCAGCTCTGGCCCTAGTCAGGGTGTGTGCAGGAGGCAACCAATCAATGTGTTTCTCTCACATCAGTATTTCTGTCTATCTTTCCCTCTCTCTAAAAATCAATGGAAAAATAACCTTGGTGAGGATTGGGGAAAAAAAAAAAAGAGCACCAGTTTCAAGAAGTGCCCACTATCCACATTACATTGTCAAGTGCTGTTATTGCTATTGGTCTCAAAACAATGCCACAGTGCTACCGACACCCATGGCTGCTTTAGTCCTGTGAAGGCTGGTACTGGCCTTCCTGGTGCCCACCTGGAAAGTGACTACTGCTTAATTTGAGCAGACGCAGCAGGAGGCTTTCTCGAATTTTCTGTTATCATGTTGCTTGCTTAAACAGCATATGGATTAGGTGAGGTTATTTGTCAGTCCATTTTATCTGCCACTTAATTGCATATACTCTAAAGCAGGAAAGTGACATCATATAGAGAAAACACTTTCTTCTGAGATAGCAAATGCTTCTATTATTTCTACAAAT